GTTTATGTTTTGGTGGTGCTAATGAAATGTTATACCGCTTGACAAAATCTTCTAAAAACACCTTCTTAAATCGATTGAAATTCGTTAATATAGGCCTATATTGGTAGTTGCTCATGTCTCTATTTATATATAGGTTTCTAAAATATTTTTCGTTTTTATTCAACATGTTCCTTTTAAATACTGTTATTTTTATATATAGGTCATTTATTTAAGGTGGTTGTAAATATAGCATGTTTTGCTTTGAACAGAGCTAAGGTCACGAGTTCAGGTTGGGCAAGTCTCGACTTGTAGCAAGGGAGAATCCCTTTTTGTTTGTGCGGGCCGGTACCAGTCACGAGTTGTTTAGTCAGCCGGGGTCAAAAGTTCAAGGTCGGTGAAGCGAGCAAAAGCGACCAGAGAGAGCAACGAGTGGAGCGAGTATTACCGAGCGGCTCGTGTGAGTGAAAGGGGGTTTTTGCTTAAAAATGTAAATACCTTAAGGTATTTTTAGAGCCAGATTTTGGGGTCGATGAGGTACCCAGGGAAAATTGTTAAAATCTGAAATTCCAGATTTTTAGGGGATTCCCCCGATTTTTTGAGTCGATGTACTACCCAGTAGTTTTTGCTAAAAACGGTGAAAAAGGGCGTGTGCTCCAGAACTGTCCTATCCCTACTACTCCGTGTACATATATGACATCGTGCATGGACAGGGTTTTCCCGTAACGTTTTTCTCACTTGCCAGCCGGACCAGCAGTGATGGCTTTTATATTACTAGTCCATGAGCAGAATTTTCATTACATGTACATCATTGTCCAATCCAGCAAGCGCCGTGTACATATATGACATCGTGCATGGACAGGGTTTTCCCGTAACGTTTTTCTCACTTGCCAGCCGGACCAGCAGTGATGGCTTTTATATTACTAGTCCATAAGCAGAATTTTCACTAGTCCGCGTCTTCCCCCAAATTTCAACATTCATTTTGACTTTTCTGCTCCAACATCATGCATTACAGTGTGCACTCGGTGCTGACTGTTGTTTAATTG